AAACAGAAACCAATTGTGTTATGTTAACTTTGGTCCCGAAATTCGCTTTAAATACAACCATGACTGAGTTAGTTTTCGTTGTTGATAGGTAACGTTAAACAAATATATATATATTTTTTTTAAAATAATAATAATAATAATAATAATAATAATAAATTTTTCTGACATTTTTTGATAAAGATCAGGATCAATGAGCGTCGAACCTATGAAAAAGGCTGCGCAAGCACTTGAATTATTATTACGTTCGCTTCCAGAAGATTGTTACTTTAATGTGGTATCTTTTGGATCTCGTCCACGATTCTCTTTTTCCAAAAAGTCAACTTTATTCCGAAACTTCATTATCTCAGGCTATCGAGCTTGCTCAATCAATGACCTCAAATTATGGTGGAATGGAAATTTTTGGAGTATTAAAATGGGTATTTGAGAATTCAAGAGATGACATGCACACTTCTGTATTTCTCATTACAGATGGGCAAGTTTATAATGTTGAACAAGTTGTAGAACTTATAGGTGAAAAGGAAGAAAAAACTAAGGATGATTTGCGACTTTTTTCATTGGAATTGGTAATTCTGTTTCTCATAATTTAGTCGAATCTGTTGCTCGTGCCGGTAAAGGATATGCCAATTTGTAACAAATAATGAAAGGATGGATAAAAAAGTAATTGGAATGTTGAAGAATTCATTAAACCACCGATCAAAGATTATAAAATTACTTGGACTGACGTTGATTTCTCGGAATCAACCGAAAAGGAAGTTACTTCGATGGTGGAAGATAAGCCTATCATTAGCTTATATAGCGACAAAACGGAACCTCCAAGTAATGTCTTTACAGATATAAAGGTTCAACAAGCTCCGTACTCAATTCCACCTATTTATCCTGGTGTTCGCTTCGTTGTATATTGCATTTTGGAGAAAGATATTGAACCGCGTCAAGTTATCACTTTAGATGCCACTTCTCAAGATGGTCCTATGAAACTTGATATTTCTTTGGATCCCGTTACTTTGCAAGGGTTAAAGATCCATAGATTAGCAGCAAGAAAACTTATTCAAGATCTTGATGATGGAAATTCTTTTCTTCATAAACATCCTAAAAATTCTGGTAAACATATTCCGGCTTCATTGGTTAAAGAACATATTGTTAATCTTGGTAAAACTTTTAACCTTGCTTCAAAACATACAAGGTACATATACTATATTATATTATAAGTGTATACATTTCTTTCTTATAGAGTTATTATTGCTTCATTTTGTAGTTTTATTGCGATTGACGAAAGAAATAATGAAATTGTATCTGAATCTCAGACAATCTCACAGATAAGACTAGTTCCTGTTCCTTTTCAATTGAATTCGATGCGATCTGCGACACAAAAGTCTAGAAGGTCTTTTGTGTTTCAAGCTATGTCAGGTTAGTAAAAAATAAAATGACATATTTTAAGATGAAATAATTTATTTAATATTATTCGTTATTTTACCATGTACTGTAACATATTCAGAACCATCAGTCGAAGCAGATGAAGCATGTGAACTTTCAGCGCCGGTGAAAAGAATGTTATTAAGAACGTCATCAAGACGTCTAGCAAAAAAGTCAAAGCAGACTTCAATAAGGTCAGAAATAAATTTTCACGTGTTATATATGCGATTGAAAATTATGTTCATCATTATTTTTTTAATTATTAAGGCCGACAAACGAACAATTGTAGTCGAACATAGAGAACCACATACTGAAAATCTATATGAATTTTTAAGTCTACAATCATTTGATGGTAAATTCTTGCCTAACGCATCATTTTATAATTTTTTTTATAATTTTTTTATAAAAATAATGTAAATGATTTTTTTGATTTTAATACGAGAAATCAAGGGAGCAGATGATATTGAAGAATTGAAGAAATATTAACTACTTGTATTGCTATAGCTTATCTTGAAGTTGTTTTGTTTGAAAAATTTAAAGATGAATGTGAAATGTGTCATGAAAAGGCCGAAAATGCTTTAAAGAAAATGGTTGGAGATGAAAATAAAGAAAAGATTATTATTGATAAAGCTAATGAATGGATTAAAAATTGGGTGGGTGAAAAGAAAGAAATTTTTATGGTTGATAAAGCTAGAGAATAGATTAATAGATTGTTTCGATAAATAACGTAGTATATGCAGTTTGATAGTTATATATAATGTTTGATTGTAAATCTTGAACATTTTATATCATGTAATAACAAAATTTATATAATATATTATAACAATAAATATAATTCATAAATTAGCTAAGTTTTTTTATAATTTGAATAAAAATACTTTTTTTAAATGATAACATTCAGAAATCCTTATCAAAAATCTAATAAAATATGTTTCATAAAATTATAAAATAATTTTTAATAATTTTTAATTATAAATTATAAGTTTTTTTTTAAAAAAATATTTTTAGTTAATAACAAAAAGAAAAATAATTTAATTTTATTTATTAATTATTAAATTATTAAAATAATTATAATTTATTTAAATAATAAAACAAAACAAAAATATTTAATACTTATTTTTTATATATTAATATTTTTAATTTAGAATATAATGAACTTTTTATAAATTAATTAATTTATATTTATTAATTATTTAAATTCATATTTGAATATATTACCTTTTTCAAATTTTTATCTGCTTTTTTAGTTGTCCATAATTACATAATAATTTAATTAAGAAATAAAAGCAAAAATTAATTATTAAAATACTAATAAATTAATAATATTATATATATACTGTAAATAAGATTACTAAATAAAACTTAGAAATATTATAGCTTATCTAAAAAGTAAAAGATAATATCTAGTAAAAATATATTT